ATCAATTTTGTTCAATTCCCTCAAAAAAGGCCATCTTGAAAGTTCTAAATTGCTAAAATCCAAGCGCTTTCAGGGGATCCGCCCCCTGGACCCCGGGCTAGGGGTCTGCACCTGCACCCTGCCAGGGGCCCTAGGGCGGGACCCTGGACCCCGCCATTAAGGACTTTGCGCCAAGGCGCTCGCGGTGTGCGCTACTCGCGTACACCCTTCATTCGCGCACAGCGAAATCATCCCCCCACAACTGAGGACCTATCTACGCCACTGATAATAACACACAAAACACACAAATCCCAGTTATGCAAGAGACTCGGGAGATTGGTCCTATAATATAGTCAGCATGCCTGTGTAATGCTACATTCGTCATTATTATCGATGGCTCATGTGTATACTTATCCAATCTATAAATAACAGATACTGATCACAAGTCCATCTACACCTGAGCGATTGTCAATAATGACGGATAAAATTTTGCATGTGAGCGCATCGTGTGTTGTCGCTATCCTTTTCCCTGCGATGTTGGAACCAACAATCATGCTGTGTTAGTTCTCGCGGTGTTAACTCTAAACAGCGTTAATTAGCTCTCACGCCGCTAGTATTTGATTTCACTGCTGCACGTTTTTACCGCCGAACCGTCCTGGCATTCTATAGTCGTGTGACCCTACGTCTGACCATTCCGGTGAGTGTGACCACACCCATGTGAGTGTGACGGGAGCTATGGGCGCGATGGCACATGTCAGTGTGTTCATATACATGTACTTCGTGATTTATATATGAACATATTGGCTCATATTATTTAATTATTGATTCATAACGCATACGTGAACTGAGTGTAAACACGTACGATCGACACCATGCACGTACGTACGTTCAACGCTGTATAGATGGACCTAGCGCGAGTTGAAATAATTAATCACGCTTAAGCAATGCTGATTTAACTAATCATGAAGCTTTTTTCATATATTATTATGTTCTCCATGATTTGGGTACAAAAAAATTGCTCGTTTTATTTAAATTGATACCGTGTAGGCCTACTGTGTAGAAAAAAATGATCACCTCGCTTATAATTCCCTTATTGATCAGCACCACAGTTAGAAGATTTTATAGAAGGTTGTTCATAACATATGTGATCTGTGGAATGACTACAAAGACACAACATCGTTACTATATTTCGTCACTAAAATGTAGAGCCTCAGGGGTGGAACCAGAGGGGGGGTCGAGGGGGTCCGGACCTCCTTTTTACCACAAAAAAAGAAAAATATACACACACGCACGCGCGCACACACACACACACACACACACACACACACACACACACACACACACACACACACACACACACACACACAATGCCGAGCTGAGTGTTAGCGCAGCTCGTTACTACGGTGGATTACGGTGATTCGGCGAGGATTAAGCTGAGGCTAATAGCGAACGTCGAGTCAGCCGTGAGTCAGGTGTGAAGACGTCACGCCGCGTCATCAAAGCTCGTCATGAGCACGCGGTAATGATCTCTGCACGATCCCTGATAAGCAGGCAATCAGCGGTCAACGCTTAATGCGATCGGCGCGAAGAACGAATTTAAATTCTGCTAACGATCCGACTATAATGACTGAAAAGTCTGCTAAACGTTACGAGGAAAGCAAGCTCGTCGAGAGCGTGAAGGGAACTGTACAATGTATAGGTCAAGTCTCGATTGGCTATCGATAAAAAAACCGAATAATTTGGAAGCATAGTCCGCGGCGGCTAAATGATGGACGATGATGTAAGGAATCTCGGAGAGGAAGCCAGTTAATAGAGTCACGCAAAAAAGTCAAGAATGACAAAAAGTGAGAGAAAACGCAAACGAAAAGCAGCTGCCAGAGAGCAGTTTAGAGCTTGAAAATATAAAAAAAGAAAGTTGGATATCCACTATAAAAAAAAGGAACGAGGGGAAAGCAAAGAGCGCCCGAGACACCCACCGCGAAAAAAAGTGGGTTGAGAAAGAGGTGGTGATAGAGAGAGAGAGAGAGAGAGAGAGAGAGAGAGAGAGAGTAGGAAAGAGGGAGAGAGAAAATGCGTGTAATATATATATATATATATATATATATATATATATATATATAGGCCTATATATGATCCCGTCAGACATACAAGGCA